AAGTATTGAAAAACATTATGTATCTATAGAGCCTTTACATTTAAATCCATGGTTGTCAGGATTTATAGAAGCAGATGCTTCTTTTCAAGTAAGAACTACTCTTTCAGGTATATATCCTAAATTTGAATGTAAATTAGAAATATCCCAAAGACGAGAAGATCACAAAGGATATGATAATTTAGATTTTTTAACTTATATTGCTGAGTTTTTAGAAACAGAAGTAAAAAAAATAAGATCGGATAAACCAAAACCTGAGTATAGAGTTAGAACTACTAACCTTAAAGGTAATATTAGAATTAAAAATTATCTTTTAGAATATCCTTTATTTGGAACTAAACATTTAGATTCCTTAGATTGAATGGAAGTAGTAGACATGTTTGATAGAAAAGAGCATAATACAAGTGAAGGAAAGGAAAAAATAGTAAATATAAAATCTCGTATGAACAATTACAGAACAGATTTTATTTGAGACCATTTACAAAAATTCTACAACGTAAAAATATAAGATATGGTCCGATCAAACACGAGAGTGTTTGCGTATTTACACTAAGTTTTAATAACTTTTTAAGCTTAAATGTTCTATTTTAAGCTATGGGATTTTATCCAGTAAATCAACAATTTAATGGGAATTACTATGGTTCTTACTGATAGAAACTTTAATACTTCATTCTTTGAAGTAGCAGGTGGTGGTGATCCTATATTATACCAACATTTATTCTGATTCTTCGGACATCCTGAGGTTAAGTATGTAGGCCTCTTAACGTTGCTGTATGCTGGGACCCCTTCGCTATATAGTTCTAAATACTCCCTCTTAAATGACATAGTGAAAAAGTTAGAACAATGAAGGAAATCAGCAGGTAACATTTTACATATAAAAAATGGAACCTCAGAGACTCTACGCGACGGAGTTGTAGTAAATTTAGAAAATGTTATACGTGTATCAGATCACGTTCCTAATCATTTGAACCCTCTAAATAATGAACAATTAGGTCATTATCTATCAGGATTAATAGACGGGGATGGTCATTTTAGTAAAGCTCAACAATTAGTTATAACTTTTAGTTCTCCAGATGCATTTCTACCCTATTACTTGAAAGAAAGATTAGGTTACGGTAATGTAAGAAAAGTAAAAGGCAAAAACGCATACCTTTTAATAGTATCTAATAAAAAAAGGGTATGTTAAATGTAATTAACTTGATAAATGGTAAATTAAAAACAAAACACAGATTTAACCAAGTAGTTAATAATGTATTAACTCATACTAAGTATGCAGATAAAAATATTAATTTTACTATAGATTCAAGTAAAATTTTGGATAACCACTTATTAGCAGGTTTCTCTGATGCAAATGCTAGTTTTCAAATAAAAATTATTAAACGTATTACCTGAGATAAACCGGAAATAAGATTAAATTTTCAAATAGATCAAAAAAAGTGATTTATTTTTTTTTTT